GTATTTCGCAGACTGTCTTGGAAGTTTGAAGTAGAGGCCGACTTTGACAATCGGTCACTCTTCTTCTGTTCTAGCAGTAACCGAGCGTCTGTGTATGTTTTCCTCGACCCGTCCGCCTGAATATGACGAACAGGTTTCCTATTTCCTGGAGTAGGAAAACGGTATTTTGTGAAATCAAGGGCAGGTGGCTCCCACTTCCTAGATTTAAGATGAGGGGTCGCCTCTCGCCCTTGAACTAGCTTCCTCTTCCGTGAAGTGGAGGGTTTCTTAGCCGACTGCTCCTTGTCCAAAGCAGGCGGCTTCTTGTTGATCAACTCTTGAATTTCTCCCTTGAAGTCCCTCATGAAGGTCATGAGTTCGTTCCTTGTGATGGGAGCATACCCATCAGTTGGCTGCTGCCGAACAGGCGGTGCGCCTGCTAGCTCGCTTCCAGTTTGAAGATGTTCTCGTTCCCTCCTTTCGGTATGACGGGTACGTCGGGCCCTTAGGGTCCCGTCTGAAGCTGTGTGAGCTTCAACTTCAAATTCATTCTCAGTATCGTGGTCCGACTGAACTAGAGGGTCGTCCAGGGGACGTCTCTCTTCAGGAGCCGGTACAAACGTGGATGCCATCTCAGAAGTACTCTCCCCACAGACGGCGCCAAAATGTTTCGGGGTTTTCTGATGTCCTGCGGGAGAGTTACAATTCCGAGACTGGAACCGGACGCCTGTACCTGCAAAACAAACGGATGCTCCGGATGATTGGAGATCCGCCTCCGACGGTCAAGTTAGTACTTGATTAAGGAGTAATTAATGCGGAAATTAAAGTGATTGGGTCTCTCTAGGTGAGAGAGTTTAATGTGTGTAATCTGCGTAATCTCCCTTAATGAGGATTAAGGGAGGTATTTATAACCTCGGGAAACGTGCCAATCTAGGTTTAGGTTAACCTTGGGCTGATTAGGCTTCCCTCGGAAGTTGGGCCTGGGTGGCCGACTTCTCCATTAGGCATGGAGTATGCCACGTGTCATGACATAATAGGTCCAAGGCGGACGAATAAGCGTGTGCCACGTGGCAAGCCCTGAGAGGTCCAACTGGGGAACACTTGGCAGGACCTGATTGGCCCACGTGGCGCATTCCGATTGGTGGGAGCAAAATCCCCTAATCACGCCTTTCTTCCGCCTGACCCTAACAGGGGCCGGCTGTGCTATCCAGAAGGCCTTTGATTTCCCCTTTGAAACTCATCATCATGTTCATGAGTTCATCACTAGAGACTAGGGTGGCCCCTTCTGAAGCAGGAGTTAACCCAAGCGGTCCCCTAATGGGATGGTTTGGGCCTGCCTGCTGCTCTGCCCATTCCCTTTTGTCTTTGGAACGAGTATGCTTTGTTATAAAAGAACCATCGGCAGCTGTGTAAGTTTCAACCTCATAATTGTCGGCTGTATCTTGGTCCGAGTGGACCTCAGCCTCGCCAGCAGGTTGATTATCTTTACCCGATAGTACAGGTTCTGAAGTCATCTAGAAAGTACTCTCCCCACAGACGGCGCCAGATGTTTGGGGGTTTTTTTTATGTGTCCTATGGGAGAGTTACAATTTCCTAGTATGCTCCTTCCTTTGCCTGTACCTGCACAAGTAACGGAAAACTGCGGCTGGGGCTGGGGTATTCCACCTCCGAAGATTTAGTTAGTATCTTTCTTAATGAAGAAATAAGACAATAAATGCTTCTCGATTTGAGAGTGTTTGCAAGGGGATTTGTGTTTGGTTGGTGGTTGGAAAAATGATTCGATCCCCATAAATGAGGTTTGCCCTTACTATTTATAGTAAGGGAGAGTTGTACCTCAATTTAGGGTACAATGACACGTGTCGCAAAGGGATTGAGCCTTTGCTGACCGTTGTGAACTTGACACGTGGCAAGCCATTATAGGGCCACGTATCTTAGGGGTATTTTTACCCTAAACAAGCTGTACCATTCCATGTAACGGTGGTCACACATAGGAGGCACCCCAGTTGGCAGCCTCTGCAGCTCCGTAGTCCATAGGTAGGCGTCCATCAGAAACTGCTCCCACGTGGCAATCATGCTTTCCAGCCATTGGACGACATAATCCTTCAACGAAGTAGATCGGACCGCCTTACTGGGCCATGCTGGTGGAGGAGGGACAATTTGGACAAATCCTAACCTGATAGAGACAGCGCTGGGGCATGTACGCCTCTACGATCTCACGGTACTGAATCAGTCCCGTGTAGAGGGTCCTAGGTACCCTATTATTAGGGTTCTGGCCGAAAGGCATCCAGTTCACCTGCACATTTTTCAAATTAGTAAGATTCATATAATAAATTCATTACAATATAAAATTAAATTTATACACTTTACCTCTAAGGGGGACATCCTGTTAAGCAATAACCATATCGATCGAAGTCGGTCAACGGACTTTTCTCAAACCGCGGACTCCACGCACAGGCACGTGGCATCCCATCACCAATAGGAACAGGGTCACGGTGTGGTCGAAATGCAGGAAAATACTCGTATATCCGGGTCTGTAATAAAGTCAGACATCCAGTGATACTTGCAGCGTCAGCCCGACTCGAGAATCCTAATTGGCGATACAGATACGCCAACGTAGCCGACCCCTAAGAAAACTGGCCTATTGTGTCGGGCTCACACGCGTCAACTATGTCGCGTGGCCTAAGCTTATTTCCGCTCTTATCCGGAAACAAGGTACACCCGAGGAGAAGAAAAACATATGTAGCCAATTGTGTGTCATGCGTCCTACGTGCAGTGGGGTGCAAACAACGCTATAAAACGGATACGATCTTCACACCGCCGTGATTCCAAACACCAAGCGCCCTAGTGTACAGGGCAGCCCTGTCCACCCCCAACAGCTCCACTAGCAAATCTGTCTGATCCGCATCAGTCATAACATAAAGTCGTTTTCCCTCTGCGAGAATCCCAAGGATGGCCTCGATGTCATGCAGCATGATCGTCATCTCATCGAACGGAAGGCGGAAAGAGTTCGTATCCGACTGCCATCACTCAACGAAAGCCGTGATCAGTGTTGAGTCAATCTTATCGTGCATAGTGGCAGGAAGGTGACTCACTCTAGTGCCTTGCAACCGGCTGAACATCTCGTTCTCCTCCGGCTAAGCCTCAGCCCATCTACACAAAAAGCTACAAGTCCTTTCCCGAGTTTGGCATTTCAAAATGCCCGTATCCAAAGCCCTCTCCTGGTCCTCCCAGATACGGGTAGCTATGTGTCCTAGAAAGCTAGGAATCACACTCCGGTCTACAGGTCCCCCAACCACCTCACCCCTCACCACCCAAGAATCATTAACGGCCCTCGACCGTTTTCTGCTTACCGCAGACACAGTGGACGCAGATGATGTGCCAGATCTACTAACAAATCTACCATCTCTACCCTTACGCACATCTACCCTATGCGTCTCATACATATCATCAAGCCTCTAACTGAATGGACCGTAATCATCATATGGTCCACTCTGATCATCTATCCTAAGCACCACATCCTCATCTGCGTCCTCCTCCTCATCTTCCTCATCACCATCATCATCTTCATCCTCCTCAGGATAGTGAACCCGTTCTCTGCGAGCCAAGGCTGAAATACCACGGGTGATGTGTTTCTTGATTCGTTTGGTCTTAGGTTTAAACAAGCTTCACTCGTTTGTTTTCGCCTAAGGGTTCTAAATCTGATTTCAAGGCTTCACTCACCTTAATCTCGTGATTTAGGGGTTTTTTTTAGGATAGTTTGAATTAGCTTCACTCACTAATTAATCTAACCTCTCTTAAATCAGGTTTCACTCGCCTAATCTAAGGGTTTTTATGTTTAACTTCACTCGTCAAACACAAAGAAAACATGGAAAGAAACGTTCCAAATTAACAAGCAATAAAGCTTTAATCAACAAAACAAAACTTGTATAATTCGAAGTTTACAACCTTTATTTATAGACTCAAAACTAATCCTAAACCTAATCAAATTAGAAGACTAATCCTAATTGAATTAGAATCCCATTTGACCTAGAAAACCTAAGAAAACCGAAACTTGATCCCCAAGTTCCTAATTCGGATATGACTAAACTAACTAAGTTTAATTCAACTTAGATTAGGTTATTCAATCCTCCTAAAACTCCTAAACACGCCTAAAAACCAAAGTCAAGTCCTAATCCACTTAGGAATTTACTTTGCTAAAAACAAGTCCTAATTCAAATAGGAACTCTCTTTTGCTAAAGACAAGTCCTAATTAAAATAGGAACTCACTAGACCAAAACAATTCCTAATCAAAATAGAAATCCTAACGCTTAAAACAAGAAAAACCCTTTCAAGTGAAAGGTAAAAACTTGTAAGCCAAAATCTAATCTAAGAAACATTAAAGAAACGGACCAAGAAAGGAAACCTTGAATGCTCCCGCATCAATGGGATCTAACGTTTCTGGGGCCCGAGCTCTCCATTGAATAGTTTCCACTTCTAATAACGTCCATACTCTTCCCCGCACCAGATCGAAAATGCGATACCGAACTCCATTTAAATAACGAAAAATAATAGCAATTGTTATTATTATTACAAAAATCTGAAAAAAATATAAAAATAAACAAAAAAAAATTACAAAAAACCCTAAACACAAAAAAAAAAAAATCTGAAGAAAAATAAGAAAAATTACAAAAACATGAAAAAAAAAACAAAAAAAAATAAAAAAAAATAAAAAAAAACCTAGCCGGCGTCCCAGCCAGACGCCAGCCCCACAGCGACGGCGGTTGGGCAAGACGTCATGGCCACGGAGGCGGCGCCCACCCAAGATGGCTGATCCACGGTGGTAGCGTCCTGCCTGGGCGCCAGATCCACGGTGGTAGCGTCCTGCCTAGGCGCCGCCGTCGTGGGTCTGGCGTCTCAGACACCCCGCCGCTTCGAGGTTTTATTTTTTTTTTTATTTTTTTTATTTTTCAAATAAAATTTACCTTGCCACCTTGTGACCGCCTTTCCTTGCCTTACCGCCTCGACATTATAGTTTGAAGATTATTTTTTAGAGAGAGGTGATGAGAAGGTAGAGAGTAGATAGAAGATGAGAGTGTGTAGGTTTTTTATTTATTTTTATTGTTTTTTACATATAGGGCAAAAGTGTCAATTCAACTAAATTTGTGTGCTTTATGTAGAGATTCGCGGGCGATGTTTAACAATTGATTAATTATTTTCCTAAACATACATATACCCCTATTAGACGATCCTATAAAGTTCCGTCCCATTTATTTATTGAACGGTCTGACCCATTTGTAACTAGGGCATTAATGAGGCTCCAACCCGTTGACTTGCTCTGTGAATAAGGAAAAAAAACAACGGGCGAACATAGCCCTGCCTAGTTCCTCCTCCTCTTGTTCCCCTCCCTCTCTCAGTTCTCCATTGAAGCGCACTCAATATCCCACTTCACGTTCTCCATCGAATTCTTGTATCGCCCATCGAAGCAGCTTCTGAGGTAAGTTGTTGTTTCTTTTAATAATCATCATATCAATTTCAAAATCTAGGGTTCATCTTTGATCATAATGAGGTAAGTGTAAGGTTCGAAAATCTGAACTATTGGCTCTAAATACTAAGATTATGAAAGATCATAATGAGTGATTATGTTCCTAGAAAAGAAAATTATGAGCCTAATTGAATCACATATCCCTAAAATTATGTGATTTGTTTGATAATTGAAACAAATTTGGTTGCTAATGTATTGCAAAACCCTTTAATGTTAGGATTGAACTATGAAATCAGACCTCTTCTTCATTGACCCAGGGCGGCTGCCCCTCCTCCCCTGGCTCAGGGACGGGCCTGATGATTTGGATATGAAACCCTAGAGTAGAGTATAATTTGTGTGAAATTTGAAGGTTTAAGAGTGATAATTGAATGGTGATCATGGTGTTTTTTATGTCAGTATAATTGCTATGGGTTGTCGTTTTCGAGTTATGATTATGAATTGGACAATTTTGTTTGTTATACGACAAAGAAATTATTTGATGAAGTTTTATTTTTGCTCAATTTTTGTCGTTCATATGCCTAGTTTGTTGCAGGATTTGGGGTGTAACTCTGTACTTAAACTTATTTGCAGAACCAATTTTCGATGGATGAAAAGATGTTTTCAGACGCCTTGAAATTGTTTAACATCAGCAAAAGTATTTTGTTGAATAATGTGTCGCCTATTGGAAGCATAAAGGTACTTTTTCATCTCGAGTAGGCTTTATAAGCTATGTTACTTGGACTCAGGTACTTGTGTTGGACATGGGTCCATGTCCAATTTCCAAGTGTCCGACTTTTGTCTTGATTTTGACCCGCAATAGAGTAATGAATTGTCCATCTCCATTTCAGATTGTCTAAGATTGTACCTGGGTACTAAGGTGAAATGAAGAGTCCAAGTAACATAGCATAGTTTATTTGACATTTATTGGTAATTCATGTTTACTTTCAATGTCTTATGTTTCTGCACATCTCTGATTTAAGCCAGAAGAATTAGAGAGATATATGTTTGCCTTTCTTATCTACATCAGTAAGAGACTGGGCGAGGGAAGTACAAGTGATAAGAATGAAGGGGGTAATCAGAGTGGAGTTACTTTGTGTCAGATACTAAAAGTCGTGAAGTTGAAGTAATTCATCACTATAAGATTATGAAAGATCATAACCAGTGATTATGTTGCTAGAAAAGAAAATTATGAGCCTAATTGAGTCACATATCTTTAAAATTATGTGATTTGTTTGATTATTGAATCAAATTTGATTGCTAATGTACTGCACAACCCTTTAATGTTAGGATTGAACTATGAAATTGGACCTCTTCTTCCTAGCAGGCCAGCCACCCCTCTTGCCCTCGCTCAGGGATGGGCATGATGATTTGGATATGAAACCCAGAGTAGAGTATAATTTGTGAATTTGTATGATATTTGAGGGTTTTCTAGAGTGATAATTAATGGTGATCATGGTGTTTTTGTGTCAGTATAATTGCTACGGGTTGTCGTTTTTGAGTTATTATTATGAATTGGATAATTTTGTTTGTTATACAAGAAAGAAAATGTTTAATGAAGTTTTTCTCAATTTTTGTCGTTCATATGTAGTTTGTTGCAGGATTTGGGGTTTAACTCTGTACTTAAACTTATTTGCAGAACCAATTTTCATTGGATGAAAAGATGTTTTCAAACGCCTTGAAATTGTTTACTGATAGCAAACGTATTTTGTTGAATAATGTGTCGCTTATCGGAAGCACAACGGTATCTTTTTATCTCGAGTAGGCTTTATAAGCTATGTTACTTGTACTCGGGCACTTGTGATGGACTTGGGTCCATGTCCAATGTCCAAGTGTCTGACTTATGTCTTGATTTTGACCCGAAATGGAGTAATGGAGTGTCCATCTCCATTTCAGATTGTCTAATATTGTTTCGGGTACTGAGGTGAAATGAAGAGTTCAAGTAACATAGTTTATCATGATAGTTATTGGTTATTCACGTTTACTTTCAATTTCTTATGTTTCTGCACATATCTGATTTCAGCCAGAGGAATTAGAGAGATATATGTTTGCCTTTGCTATCTACATCAGTAAGAGACTTGGTGAGGGAACTACAAGTGATAAGAATGAAGGTGGTAATCAGAGTGGACTTACTTTGTGTCAGATACTAAAAGCCGTGAAGTTGAAGTACTTCGTCACCCTATGATTTTGATTATGATGTTTATATAAGTGGACTGTATTTTGCTGTTCAGGATGTGATTGTTTCTATTTCTTTTACCAGTCTTGTAGATTTCTTTAAAGAGCTTCCTCAGTTTATTGTTAAGGTTGGCCCAATCTTAAGTAACATGTATGGTGAAGATTGGGAGAAGAGACTTGAGGTATGTGGAACATCTGACATCAGATGCCTTTTCTTTGTTTAATGTATTGGAGTATCCACTTATTTGATTGAGAATTATTCTAACTCATTATTTGATCAGGTGAAAGAGTTGCAGGCCAATTTTGTGCATTTGAGCCTTTTAAGCAAGTAGGCCTTCTTTTTGTACTGGGTATTCTTTCTGAGTATATGTCTTGGTTTTTTGGATTAAAAATTCACTTAAACTGTGCTTTTGCAAATCATGCCGGATTTACTGCATAGCTTATAATTATAGTTAAAACTGAAGTCCCTAAGCTCTTTGTGCTGATGGCTGTGATATTTTTTTTTTTTGTTATGTGATTTTAATGTAAACCTGTAAGGCTGTAATGTAAACATTTTATTTGGTAAAGTTTCCCTTATACCATCTATGGCGGACATAGTAAATTGAGCTGCGATGTTGTTGATCATGTTGTTGAAGAACTTCATTTGAATTATGACAAGGATGACATATTAGGGTAAACTGCTATTTTACTTATCTGATTTGCTTTTAACATGGCCAGAGACTTGTTGTTAAACGGCTTAAACCTCAGAGCCCTGCCTTGGAGTCATACATTTCTAGCCATAGCAATTTTCGTGCTATATTCTGAAGACTGCGTCACTTAATTTGTTATTGTTTCTCCTATGGTCTATAGTTGTAGTCGACAACTAGGATTCTTGATTCATTGGATAATAGTGTAGTCATAATATATATGCTTTCTCATTGTTTCCATTATATCTTTTTTTCCCCTTATATTACAGATAAAAAATTGTAATAGGGTTGCTAGAGTTGAAGCTTGAAGTGTCAAAATTTATTCTTAGCCCATCTTCCCTTTAGATTGTGTGCAGCTTATTTATTCTTGGCCTTTCGTAAACGTATCTATTCTCTTTTTTTTTCTTTGTTTTGGATTTTAAAAACTTGTCTAGGCAATGATTACTTTTGAAACTGTCTGTGTTTGAATTGAGAGTTAAATTGTTTTATTAGTTGTCTACCACATCTAAATGCTCTCAAACTGATGATGCACCAGTGTAGTTATAAATAATGTAAGCTGTATGTTTTTCAAAAAAAAAAAAAAAAAAAAAAGGTAAGCTGTATGAGGGGGGAACTAAGAAGATAAGCCCTGACTGGTTTTTAAGACAGATTGAACACTTGAGAATAGTAAAAGCTTTCTTCATTATTGGGTACTGTACAAACCACTAACTGCAACTGTGGGAACTAGGAAGGGAGGAAACCCATACTTCGTGTACAATACTGTTGTTAATTTCATGTTTGGCATAGCAGAGCATACATGCACTATGTAGCATTTCTAATCTTCTCTCATTGTGAATGAGCATACATGCACTATCATTATGATGAAGTCAAATTCCAGTTTGAATTTTGTGTCGGGGACATTTATCATTGATGCAAGAACCCTTTGGAATCAATTGTTTCTAATGTTATGTTACCTTATAATAAGATATATTAGAATTTTCAACATTTTCTCACCCTTTGCAGAATTTGCTTGAACAAATTTATTGTGAGATATTTATTGGGATTTGTGACTAATTGTTGTGTCATGTCTTTTTAAGGTACTACAAGCGAGCATACCAAGAATTTTTCAAGACGAATGAAGCTGATAAGGAGGTTGCTGATGCAAGCACCTCCTCCTCTGATAGTATTTCAGACTATTATAGGTTCGGATGGCTGCTGTTTCTGGCCCTTCGTGTCCATGCATTCAGCAGGTTTAAGGACCTAGTAACCTGCACTAATGGATTAGTCTCTGTATTGGTAAGTTTAGACTTATCACCTATTGTAGTATTGACTTGTAGAATTGTGGGATGTATCCTCTCTAAAAAATTTATTCAATGCAAGAAACATGAAGACTTGAACAAGTTTTCAAAGTGTTCTGAGTTTGTATAGTGTGATTATTTTCTTAATCAGGATTCTATATTTATGTCAATTTCTTGAACAATTGAATATACATTAATTTCACTGCTAGCTGCCATTTTAAAAAGTTAAATTTGATGCAGGGTATCTTGATCATTCACATCCCTGCTCAGTTGAGGAAGTTCAATGTTCTCGACTCACCATTATTTGGTACAGTGCTCATAATAAATTGATGTTCTCTTTCTTTGGCTATATTAACCTCTTTCCTTTGGTGTTTAGAGAGGAGGGGTAACTCTACTAACTGCGGATAGCATCAAATTGATGGAAATAAAATTCTGTTTCAGAAAAAAAAAGTGATCGAGGTGTGAACCTGATTGCGTCACTTTGCCAAAAATATGACACATCTGAAGATGAGGTGAAGCAAATGATGGAGAAAGCTAATGAATTGATTTTAGAGATTATGAAGAAAAAACCATGTACAGCATCAGAATGCAAGACTGAAAATCTAGACAACATTGACCCAGGTCAGTAAGATTTGTGCTCTTGTATTTGCCTGTTTAACAGTAATTTGACCCAGGTTAGCTCAATTACTATCTTTGTTGAGTGCAGATAATTTGACTTACTTTGAAGACCTGTTGGAAGACTCGTCACTTCCAAATTGTATTAGCATGTTAGAGAAGGATTATGATGCGGCAATTTGGAACAAGGGTGATATAGATGAAAGAGTCTTTGTTAATGTGGATGACAGCTTACTTGGATCAGGGAGTCCTTCTGGAGGTGCCATTAACATAAGTGGTACTAAGGTAATCTTTTATTTAATGTGCAAATTTATTATACTACCCTGCGTGAATATCACGCTATTTTATATGATTTATATCATTTTCCTTTTCCCCATGCACTATTGAGTCTCCTACCTAGGACCTGAAGAATGGTTATAAATCACTTAATTAACATATATATATATATATATATATATATATATATATATATATATATATATATATATATTTCACTGTAGCATAAATTGGAAAGGCTTGAAGTGGTGTGTTATTTCATTAGATAGTAAGGAGTAATGTATAAGTAATGTTTTAATGCATTCGAATGATCCTTTCTTTCTCTCTTTCTTATTTTCCCTCATAAATTCAGAGACAATTAGATGCAATGGCCTCTCCAACGAAAACAATTGGAAGTCCACTTTCACCTTGCCGATCACCTTCACTGCATGTAAATGGGGCTCGTGGTGGTGTCAACATAAGAATGATATCTACACCAGTGAGCACTGCAATGACAACTGCTAAGTGGCTTCGTACTTACATTTCTCCACTTCCATCCAAGCCGTCTCCTGAGTTGGAGAAGTACCTTATGTCATGTGATAGGAATATAAGTAATGAGGTTGTACGTAGAGCTCATATTATTATGGAAGCCATTTTTCCTAATAGTGCTCTTGGGGAGAGATGTGTTGCTGGGAGTCTACCAAATTTTAACTTGACGGACAATATATGGGCACAACAAAGACGGCTGGAAGCTTTAAAACTGTACTACAGGGTTTTGGAGGCAATGTGCACAGCAGAGGCTCAGTTGTTGCATGCGAATAATTTGACCTCTTTGCTAACCAATGAAAGATTTCACAGATGCATGCTTGCATGTTCTGCAGAGCTGGTTTTGGCCACTCATAAGACAGTGACAATGTTGTTTCCAGCAGTATTAGAGAAAACTGGGATTACAGCTTTTGATCTTAGTAAGGTGATTGAAAGTTTTATCAGACATGAGGAAACTCTTCCAAGAGAGCTTAGAAGGCATTTAAATTCCTTGGAAGAGAGACTCTTGGAGAGCATGGTTTGGGAAAAAGGTTCCTCAATGTACAACTCTTTGATTATTGCAAGACCAGCTCTGTCTGCTGAAATAAATCATTTCGGATTGCTGGCTGAGCCAATGCCCTCCCTAGATGCAATTGCTGTACATATTAACATGTCTACTGGAGGCTTACCTCCTCTGCCATCATTTAATAATGAGATTGCAGCAGGTATATCAGTCATCTTATTTTTCTTCCCCCACAAAATAAAAATATATTCGGTTTTTAACATCTTCAAATAATTGATTAAATACATAATGTGAATTTAGGCTCTTTGAGCTGTTTACATATGGGGTTTTGTGACTTGGTTGATTATGTAGTTTTCATGACCGAATCAGTTTGGTGCAAGCTTATCACAATTTGTGCGCTGTTAGGTTATGTAACAATCGAAAAGAGAGGGTTCTAGGAAATTTAGCATGAGGATTACGCAGGTTTCGGGATTCTTATGCATCCCGCTTCCCTGCATATATTGTATCAAAATAAGCATATTCTGACTCTCTGCTCTCCTAGTCTCCTGCCCTATAGATTGCATTGTTTAGGCAAGGGATTGATAAAGTATTGTGTCATAAGTAGAGATCTATGGGTGGTCAAACTCTCACCTGTTGGTATTTGCTTTAGTTTTGTGACAAGACGACAAGTATGTTATTGCAGTGTAAATTACAAATTTTCTGACTATATATTATCTCCGTGCTGTCATTTGTAGCAACAAATGTAGATATTAGGTCTCCAAAAAGAGCTTGCACAGAGTATCATAGCATGCTTGTAGAACGCAACTCTTTTACATCACCTGTGAAGGATCGTTTAATAAACAACCTCAAGCAGAAGCTAACTCCTCCAGCTTTGCAGTCTGCTTTTGCAAGGTACTGTGAACTATTAAATTAGTTGGAAGGACCTGTAAATTCATATTTATTTATGTTTTTTTTAGTGTTTTGGAAAAGGCATCTTCTGTTACTTTGATTTGGAAGATTTATTTGAACTTAGGGTTTTGGTGTTTTTCAGTCCAACAAGGCTGAGTCCTGGTGGTGGAGGAGAAACTTGTGCAGAGACTGGGATCAATATATTCTTCAGTAAGGTATGAGATGCTAGATTGCTAGTGCAGTTTAGCAGCAAACTGAGTGCTCTTGGTCATTTGCGCTCTCTGTTTGTTGAGTATCTTGACTTAGTTTTACTGACCTTTAGTGTATTTGGGATCAATATGTTCTTCAGTAACGTTTGAGAGACTAATACTTTTTAGCAGCAAATTGAATGCCTTTGATCACTGGTGAGCTCTGGTTGTGGAGTGTCTTGACTCAGCTGTATTGACTTTTACTGTTCTTTATAAAACTAGATGGCCATCTTCAAGCTTTGAGTATGCCTGTGCCTAGGGCCTAGGGGTGAGCACAACCGCGAACCCAATCAAAGCTGTAGGAACTGAAACCAGTTCTTGAAAGTCGAACCTGGTTATAAATGTGATTGTTAGATGAAAAAAACACATTTTATTTTATTTTTGATTATTTGGCTTTTTAAAATTCATTTTTATTTAGTTTTTGGCTATTTATTTTATTTAGACTTTAGTAATACTTATTTGTTTCATTAACCAAATACCATTCAATATAATATAATTAATAAATAAAAAATAGATATATTAGTATTTATCGGGTAACCAAGTGCCATCCGGTTTTTATTTTTTTTAAATAGATATATTAGTATATTCATATCAAATCAAATTGTTTAATCTGATACCAGTTCTTTGTTTCAATAAGTTATTGGCATAAGAGTTTTCACTTTTCTCATTGGTCTTTGTTGTTGTCCCTGCTCTTCCTCATCCAACTTAGCTGCCTGATTTGGTGCCTTTTACTAAATGCCACTCAGTTATCTTGTATTCGAATTTCACATTTTTACTCAGTGGCCTTTTTCTCGGCCCCTCTCCCTTCCCCAAAAAAAAATACTTCCACTGTTTTTATTTACTTGTAATACATTGAACTTTTACACTTCATATACTCCACATTGACTTTTACACTATTCATATACTCCACTATTCATATACTCATATACTTCCCCCAAAAACACTAGCTTTGATGATTTTTAACTAAGGAAAAATATAGTTATGTGGGATCTTGTTAGATTCATCTCTATATATACTTTCATAATATCAAATTTTATAATTTTTTACATATTGGTAATTAAACTTATGGTGATTGAAATAATGCATTGGCAAGTGTGAAATGGCAAGTGTTGCAAGTAATAAAAACACAAGTATTATATAAAATTGTTGCTTGGTTTGGATATTTGGACCTTCTGCTGGAAATGTCACTTAGATATTTTGCATTCTTGTATCAGATTGTGAAGTTGGCTGCTGTCAGAATAAATGGTATGATTGAAAGGCTAGAAAAGCCTGACAAGCAATCTGAGACTCAGCAATTGAGGGAGAGTGTATATTGTGTGTTCCAGAAAATACTTAATCAGCGGACTTCACTTTTTTTCGATCGCCACATTGACCAAATAATCCTGTGTACTGTCTATGGAGTTGCAAAGGTTTGTATATATTAAATTAACTAAAACAAAATCTCATAAAATATAATGGGGCTTAACTTGGCTCTCACATCATGCTTCTAGAACATTTTGAATAACTTTGCTTGTTTTTTCAGATTTCTCAATATGAGCTTACATTTAAGGAGATTATTTTAAACTACCGCAAGCAACCTCAATGTAAACCCCAAGTTTTTCGCAGTGTATTTGTTAACTGGTCTTCTTCACGCAGAAATGTAAGTTCTGTGAAAGCTGCTTAACTTAATTAGTAGCTAACAAGTGTTTTTGACCTCATTGGTAAGGGGGCTAAAATCTGAGCTTTCTTTTGATCATCTAACAGAGACAAGGGCAGTATCACGTTGACATCATAACGTTTTACAACGAGGTCTTCATACCTTCTGTAAAGCCTCTTCTAGTTGAGCTTGGACCTCATGCTGCATGTACGAGAACTAATTTAATTCCCGAAAGTAATAGTGACAAAGATGGTATGCTTTGTGATGAGTATTTTATTTTTTCTTATATAGAGAAAGAAAAGAAAACACAAAGAAACTTTCATTGTTAGCAAGGCTTAGCTTCTTTTTTTTACTTGTTAATTAGGTCAGTGCCCTGGGTCACCAAAATTATCTACATTCCCAAGTCTTCCTGACATGTCTCCGAAGAAAGTTGCAAAGAATGTCTATGTCTCCCCATTGCGCTCATCCAAGGTACTCATTAGTTATCATACAAAGTATTTATATTGAGTTTAATTCTTTTGGTTTAAATTGAGGCATCCTAGAAGACTAAGTATATAAGTAGCCATGGATAAATAATTCGAGATTCATCTAGAGGGCTTTAACATAAATATGTACTCTGGAATCTGATCTAGTGCAGTTTCAGTTATATCCTTTTGCAAGGCTCTGCTACCCAAGTTTCACAGCCGCTTCTTGTCCAATATAAATTTCTAAGCCATCTTTGACATTGCCAAATAGTTTTAGTTCACTAAACACTGACTCACATATCTGATTTTCACAATTTCCACTGTAGATGGACGCTCTAATTTCAAACAGCTCAAAGAGCTACTATGCTTGTGTGGGGGAAAGCACTCATGCTTTTCAAAGCCCTTCCAAAGATCTGACTGCAATAAATAATCGTTTGAATAGGTATAGATTTGATTCGCTTACTTAAGTAAGACGTATGCTTTATATGGTGGTGCTGATTGTGCACCTCTTATCTTCACAGGAAGGTTAGGGGAGTACTGAATTTTGATACTGATGCTGGGCTGGTAAGCGACTCTCTTGTGGCTAACAGTTTCTACATCCATAATGGAAACGGTGCCACTACCCCATCTGCAGTGCCCTTGAAAACACAACAGCCTGATTATTAGTTAGTGGGTACATGAATGATGTATATTCTAGACTCCTCACATTATGTATATACATCCATAATGGAAACGGTGCCACTACCTCATCTGCAGTGCCCTTGAAAACAGAGCAGCCTGATACTTAATGGTTGTACATGAATGATGTATATTCTAGACTCCTCACACTTGTCTACAACCATTTCTTTCATTTTTGTTTAAAAGCCAGACCTAAAGTGAAAGAGCTAGCATAGCTGCCATCACTTTCAGACGCTTGTGTATTATCTTTTATTGTAAATAGTTTTATATTATTGGTTGCCTCTGTTTATCTGAAGTGTAAATTACCATGTGTTTATCGCCTCTATCGTCTGTTCTCATTCTTAGATATCGATCCAAGAACTGAGGTCCTCTCCTCTTTAACTTTTTGATTATAAATCTCAATAAATATTGATTTAGATACAGCAATCTAACGTTCTGCAAGTAAAAGTAAAGATATGACAAGTAAAAATTCAAGATTTGACAAAAACCAGGGTTTGACAACATTTTTACTATTTACTCTCAAAAACATTGTATAGTTTAAGTATGTGGGCCTGTAAGAATCAATCAAAATTTTAATTTCGCAAAGAATCATCCTAAGATTCCTAACCCTCCAAATCTCCAACAAGAACCAGAAATAAGTGGATCATATCATCTACTGTAGCAATGAATGATCAAGTATAAGAATATTTTACTTTATCTAACAATACAAGCACTGTTTAGACTTTTTTTACAATACGGTTATATTCTAACTCTAACTGCGTTTTATTTCTAACATGTAAAATTTTCATTATTTGAGAGTGAGGTATAGCTTAGGTTGGGAATTGTGGGATAGATTTTCATTACTCACACTTGTGAAACACTAAACAAATGTCGTCATATTAATTGTTGGGTTATTTTTAAAATATATATATATATATATATATATATATATATATATATATATATATAATTTTTTTTTTTTCCAGAATATCATTGTTTCATTAATGCCATAATTATTTTGTTTGCAAGTGTAAAAATCTAAGGTGTATGTATGGTGAAATAAAGAAAGTGCAAATATTCTTTTTTGATAGGGTTGTGACCAATGAGAAAAATTATAAAATGAGAAGCATGAGAAGAAATCTTGACCGTACAAATAAATCCAACCATTCACATCTCACATGTGCAAATGCACATTTAGTACAATTATTATTTACATTTATTTTTCACATTTATTTCCTCATTGTTTATCGTTGACGAACTCTCTTTCTCTCTCTTCTCCATTAAAACGTATTTAGAGTTCTAATTTTTAATTTTAGAGATGATTGAGAAAGTAATTGTGGCCATGAAAGACTTGCAACCCCAATAATAAGGATTCACTGACCTTAGTTTAGATCATACATAGATTTGTTCGGAGTATGTTCAACAATATGCTCATTAATTTAATTTAAAAGATATGCACCCTTAGTACAAAAGATTTGCACATTAAACTCAATAAATATGCACATATCATCAAAAATATATACTTACAATCATAATTCATGTCTAGATTAAAAATTATGCATTTGAGATATGTTGGTTCATTGACAGGAACACGCTAATTTGAGTCACTCAATCAAACATATGTTCATAGATTCGACTGAGTTTGCCCCAGAAACTCCCAAATCCATTTTGATCTACAAATGAAAAAAAATTGATGATTAATTTGATTTTCGAATTTGTGACTAAGTTTACCAACTTGTAATTGTTTTTGTTCAATAATACTTGTATTAATCAAACGACAATTCACTCAGAAGTTCAAAGGTTTGAGGGAAGGGACTGGAATTTGGATGGTAGAGAGAGAGAGAGAGAGAAGGTGGGGGAAAAAGATGATCAGGGAGGAAGAGAGAGAGAGAGAGAGATTGGATCTTCTTTTGAACAAAAATGGGGAAGAGTGATGAGTCCCCTACCATATTAATTGTTTAATCAAACACTTATGAACAGTGCTATGCCAACTATATCCTTTAAAATGTCTATTAACATATATACCCCTATTTATGCATACAACTCACATGTATGTATATCCTTTAAAATGTCTATTAACATATATACCCCTATTTATGCATACAACTCACATGTATGATTTATTTTTTCCTTTTGTTTTTAACATCGCAACTTTTTGGCTATTTTTTATTTATTTATTTTCCCTACATTTTAAAAAAAATTAAGATAACTCTTACAAATAGATTTTGGACAACTATATTTTTTAAAAATAAAGTAGTAACATAAAACCAAATTGAAAGAGATTCCAGAACATGGCTAGCTATACGCGTTAGCCACCCTAGTATAGAGAAAAGAGAGGGAGAAGTACACGGGAAGGAGAAAGTGAATTGGGGAAAAGAAGTTTTTAATATTATTTACAGTTTTGCCATTAATGAGACATATAATTAGAGCCATTAGATCATTTTATTTGAACGGATGAGATCACTTTTCATTCTTCTCATTATAAGACTTTTCTCATTTGACCCTTTATATACATATACACACACTAGTACGTACCCCAGGGCGATGTCTTGGGTTCCCTCCAAATATATCCTTATGATTTAAGAATCCTCACACTAGATTGCTACTTATAAAATAATTATAAAGTAACAATTATTTTCTCAAAGGCATTATCACTACTGTGTAAATCTATCCACGTTTGAATCATTTGTTGCTTTATATGTTCATAATTGGATGAGTAATTTAATTTTACAGTTTCATTGTTATTTAACAATTTGAGGACTCCTAGACTTTTAGGGATTTTTTTTAAAGACGATTGCCTATTTGGATTTTAACTCTGGTGGCAATGCACGGTTTTTTTTATTGAATTTTAAAACAAAAGTTTTATCTATATGCCAATTTAAAAAAATATATCATTGATACTGTACGAGGATGATCTCGGTCAGCCAATCCAAAAAAGTAGAGCCAACAAAGGTCAGACACTTGAAAAGGCTGGCACAGGTCCTGCGTACCACCTCTTGGGGGGCTAGTTGTATGGGGTAGCTCTGATGGAGATCTCCCCATGCTCCGAATGTAATACTCCGTATTTTTATATATTTTTTATATATAAAAATTATTTATTTTATTTATTTTTATAAATTAAAATGATTCATTTCAGTTTAAAAGAAATTATTTATTTAAATATTATGTAAGTGTGCACAAAATAACATGGGTCATTAATTGAGGAAATAAAAGTGTTTTGAAGAGTCATCTTTATTTAAATAGTTGGATCAACTTGTTGGGAAATTGAGGCACTTAAGAGCCCAACAAGTTAGCCCAAAAGGAAGAAGTTAAGGGGGAGTAGGATTTAGCAATGACAGTTTTGTAATTATGAGTTTTGTTTTAAAAGGGGAGTATAAATATTTCAAAACCTCATGACTTTTCACTCTAAAATCATTATTGTCAGATTTCACAAAAATCCCAAAAGTTTTCTCTTTATTTTCTCTCCCCTTTTTCTCCTTATTTTTCCTCTCTCTTTTTTTTTTTTTTTCTTTTTTCCCTCTTCTACCACGCCTCTCTCCTCTTTCCCCCTCACGCACGTCGGCAACCACCGGCGCCACCACCAGCCACCGGCGGCCAGCAGCAGCAGTCGGCACACCGCCGACCACCTCCCTCTCTATCTCCTTTTGTTTTCGCGGTTTGGTATTATTATTATAAAAAAAAACTCTTTTTCTCTTCCTAATTTAATTCTATTGTTTTTATTGAATTAAAGCATGATTTTGATTATGTTTTGGTATTGATTTTGGGAATTTGATGTTGTTAAATTATTTATATGATTTTCAGATTTTTATTCAATAAAAAAACTCCAATTTATAAACCCTAGAATTTAATGTTTATGGTTAGGGTTTGATCCTAGGTGGTGGTTGTTGTTTAATTAATGGTTTAAACATGTTTTTCATGAGTTTAAAGCCCTCAAATTAATGCTGGAATTTATTTATGCACACTACTTTTTTGAGTTAGGGTTTGATTACCCATAAAAGAGAAAAGGTTTTAATGATTTAAATATGATTTCCTAGTCTATTAGTGATGTTTTATATTAAGTAAGTATGCTAGAATTTTATTTAAGTCATAAAAATTAAGTCTTTTTGAAAGGATTTGAAGTACCCACTTAAAGTAAAGGTTTTACGGGTTTCATGAAATTGGGTTAATTAGTAAGGTTTAAAGTGTATTATAGTTGATGGGAATTTGTGAGAATAGTAGATTAATTATAGTTATGTATTCTTATTTGTAGGAAGCTTCGAGGTAGGTGATTTCTAGCGAGTGTGGCCGAGTCTAGGCATTTTTCAAGGTACGTATGTGCGCAAGAATATTTGTGTATGTGTAGTATCATGTTAGGATTTGTAAAGTATGATTTAAGTGATGAATTAGTAGCATGTTTGGTTGATTATATACTTGGTTGAGCATAAATTGTTATGAATTGATGTTGGTTGAGCATAAATTGTTATGCAAGCATGTGAATATGTTATTTGAGGCATGATACAAGCTGAATATGTATGAATCATGGAAGTATATTTTATTTTCAAGTATCAAGAAAGCATGTATTTAATAAACAAGGCTTATATATGAATTAAAGAGCTAAAGTTAGAATTATTGATCATGATTCGTGAATTTATTTCTCACTCATTTATTATGAGAGTTGAGTCAAGAAGTTAATTTATTTATTTATTCGCTCATGTAAGTTGAGTTTGAGTCAAGGAAGTTTAGTAGTGCATTTTATGCACCAAGGTAGTAATCGTGCAATTTTGTGCACAAAAGCTAGGCAAGGAACCTTAATTAAAATAAATAGTATGTACTCACTAATTAATCCAAGAATGAATTGGAAGTATGTGTTGAATGTTGCTTTGTTATTCTTGATTGATTGGTTGGAGTCATCACAAGTTAAATTGGTAAATCACGTAAAGTGTAAGAGGATACACACCAAAACTCTTGGAACGTATATACCTTAAGTATGAACATATGGGGGGAGTTATGGGGTTTAATATTTAACCATAGCTTCTACAAGGGTACAAGACTCTTTACTTTCTTTTATTATTAATGCGCTGGAATTTCGTCACAAGTGTGACATAATAGGTGCCAATTGGGGAAGCTCCCTAATTGGAAGCTCAATATTTAAATGGGCTATTTTCAAGGAAGGAAACTCGTTCGATGCGTAATCCAAAAATATTATTAATAATTAATATTGCTAGTTATGAGTCAAAGGTAAGTTGACTTGTGATTGTATGACGAACATGTTTTAATTATTATTTTTATTTTGATGCTAGTATATTCATGTTAGTGTGGTACATATGTAATCAGCTT